GGCCAGTGGTTAAATACAACTGAATCTTCAAAACAATGCCCAAAACCCCCACTGCACACTAAAAAGTTAATGGTTACTGCATGGTGGTCTTTCAAGGGGGTTATCATAATTCATTCTTGTCTCAATGGGAAACAATAACAGCAACCTCGTATTGTCGAGAAACTGAGTCTGTGCACGAAAAATTGAAAAAAAGGAACATCCTAGACTTATGAATAGGGAAGGCCCAATTTTGTTGCACAACAACGCACGGCCACACGCTTCTCAATTAACTGTCCGAAGGCTGTATAGCCTGAATTATGAAAATTTGCCTCATCCTCCATCAGATAAGAGATAATAGAAGCATTTGAACTGTTTATCACATCAAAGGATGATAATTGTTTTAAAGATGGGATCAAGAATTTAGAGGTACGTTGAAGAAGAGTCATTCATCAACATCATGTCTATTTCAACTAAATAAATTAGTTATTTAACATTTCAGAAGCGTTTTATTCATTTCCTATAAAGTGCGTCATTTCATATATGACAAACTATTAATTAATGTTGAAGAACAGCTGTTATAGCCAAAATGTAATATATAGTAGCTAAGAATAATTAAAATTGAGCATTCCACTTTCAATATATATATATATATATATATATATATATATATATATATATATATATATATATATTGAATCAACACTCATAGGCGACAGGCTGTTTCATGCTAGACGCAATCATCAGGCCGCGAGTGTTGTTTTTTCTCGCCTATTTATATATACGGGTCAGTGGTTCATTGTGGGTAGTCCATTCTGGCAGTTATTTTGGCGGGAGTGGTTTGTTAATTTGTTTATTATTTACTTTGTTTATTTGGATTGATTATTTTTTCTTGTTTTTATTTTTATTTTTATTTATTCTATTCCGTCTATTCTAACGGAAGTGGTTTGTTAATTTGTTTATTATTTGCTTGGGTTAATTTACTTGTTTTTTATTATCAACGTAAGATAAATCTGATTAAGACCCTAACTCATAGGGCTCTTATTATCTGTTCCGAAGATGACACTTTACAAAAATGGATATCCTTTAGATGTCTTCGATGCTGTTATCCTTAATGTCATCAACAATTTTCATAGGGTTAAGCCGCATCTTGTTACAAAATATCCTGTCTATTTGTGTCTTCCCTTTATTGGTTCAGAGCGTGAGTCTTTGGCCAGGCGAATTTCGTTTGCAATCCACAGTTGTTATTTTTCTGCTAATGTTCGAATAATATTTGTTACTCGACCTATTTCTTCTTCCATTCGTAAGGATGTCCTTCCATTCCCTTCCCCTTCATCATGTTAAGTCAGTTATTTACAAATATTAATGTAGTTGTGGACTCGACTACATAGGGAGGATTTCTCAACGTTTGGATTATAGGATAAAGCAGCATTTACCGTCCCCCAGGATTTTGAATCCGGCCGCTAGCAATAGTCAACAGGTTAAAACATCCGGGTTATCTATTGCTCAATAGTTTATTAATAGCAGGAGATGTATGTCTAACTTTAGTGCTGACTTGTTCAGTCTGAAGTCGGACGACCGGTTGAACTCTACGCCTTCGGGCGGGGAGGAACCCGAACGAGTCTACTCCGAAGGGCGGAGTCTCTTTCGGGGAGGTAAACCGACCCTGAACCGGTTTATACGGTTCAAAGGGCATATTTTTGGCCGAGCCCACGGGCTCGGAGATCCCACGTTAAACCGGCCTTATGCCACATGATGCCCTGGTGGGGGTGGGGGTGACTAAATACTAGTGTGGACTGTTTCTCTATTTTCTCACGGTTCTACTCTTTGTATCATCTCAATGTCCTGGAGCCCTTGTATATCAGATCCCGCAAGCATTCCATCTGTAAAAAGAGGGATTGTTTGCTGGCTCGGAATATTATTGGTCTCTCGCTTTTCTTGAAATTTTTCCCCCTCATTTGTCATCCTATAAATTAATTTACACGTTTCTCCTTTTTAATTCCTAGAATAAAACTTGATAAGACTGGGGCGAAACCAGTTGTTTTTAGTTATTAAATTTACACTGATATGCTTTGTAATTTCAATTTTAAATTACGCTTATTCCTTGCTATTAAAGACATTGTGATTCAAACAGGTCAACCGTCCAGGCCAGACAGGCCCGACCTAATATGTGTAAAAAATAAAACGACAGAGAAAATCTAAAGCAAAGGTGAAAGCTCGATAAATAACACGACCTTGCCAAATATCTGAGGAAATTCTGTAATATGAAATTAACAGTTATACCAATTATCGAAGCACCGGGAATTCTAGAAAACTCTCTTTAAAATGTTAGAGTTTAGAGAAATAATTACTAAAATCAACGAAAATACTGAATAACTTGAGGAACATTAAGAAAACTTACTGTCACTTGAATCCCAGTGAAATTTACCAGTTGCTACTAGTGCAAATAATAATAATAATAATAATAATAAGTTGTAATAGTAGTAGTAGTAGTAGTTGTATTAGATCAGGAAGAAGATTAAAAGATAAAAGTGTAAGCAATAGCAGAGATAATTATAAAATTACCAACAGTAATAGACAATATTTTCAGTAATTTAGGATTATACTTTTACGAAGACGAAAAGATTATAGATAATTATGATGTTCATAATAATTAAATGTAAAGTCTAATGAGAAATTATTTTGAAAGTAAAATAAATGGTAATATTACTAATATAATGCTAATGCCAATAATAACATCATCTTCATTAGTCATTAATAACAATGGCTCGATTTTCCATAGAATTTTTTGTGCATTATGAAGAGCGAGGATCACAAGAAACATTCAATTCTTTCGAAAGAAAATGCTGTGCTACTGAAATAGAGGAGTAGATAGGTTGACCTATCGCCCGGTCTACATTCCTACCCGGTGTTTTGAACAGGGGTAGAGATTTATCCCTTGTTTCCAGTTTAGGATGGGGTTTACAGTCCTTCTAAAGTCTACTTCAACTCTATACGTCTAATGTTTCCTCCTGAAAAATTGCATTCACTATTTTTTTACCTCAATAGAAATATATAGGTCCATCTATTGCCCGATTGACACTCCAGGAGTAGAGGTTTATCCCTTGTTTCCTGTTTAGGATTATGTTTCTGGTTACTTCTAAAGTCTTTTCATTTCAATTTACTCCCAACATTCCCTTACATCTTAGTGGCATTATTGCCTTGCTTGGGAGAATAGAATGAAAGAAAATCAGCTGTCATCATTTCTTGATTAAACAAGCCGTCATCTGGAAAGATATATAAAGCTTATATGTGCATAATATATATATATATATATATATATATATATATATATGTATGTATGTGTGTGTATGTGTGTGTATGTGTGTGTGTGTGTGTGCTTTTCCGTCTTTGTACGCGTTTGTTCCAAAGAATATATTCCCTTTAAAATCGGCTGTTAAAATTACAAGTACAATTGTCCTATCAGAAAACCAGAGAGCCTAATGAATATTTTAAATTTGTCGGCAATCTAGTTGGTGACTTGCAATCAGTATGTCGCATGAAACAGGTTCTGGTTAACGTTCAAAATCTTGACTAGAAAATATTCATGCGAAAATCGTCTTGCATAGAATTGCAGACTTTAAAACAAGCCACAACAGCCGAATTTATATTAGCCACTTTCTCTGAAAGACATCATACTTTTTCTTGAAGGTCAACTAGCAACAAATCAGCTATGAAAAGAATTAACTCTACTGCTGCATGTAAGAGAAAATTTTGCTTTTTAAATCATTCAAATAACGCAAATATAAAGATTGTACATTATTTACATTATTCGAACTATTGTCCTCATCTTTGTCGCCATATTTATTACAACGTTTCGGCCGTTGTACGCTCAGGCCTTCTTAAGGTGGTTGGAATGTGGAATTGAAACCTTTATTTCGCTCACTGGAGTAGACTGTTCCACGTGCCATGTTTGATGGATGTCACTTATCAGTTATCTCCTGTTAATTTCCCTCTGAAAGTTCTCCACTGTCTTAATCAGGTATTGAACTCACACTCTTTGAGTCCTGTGACTGGATCTAACTAACGCCTTTTTCCATTGTGCCATGTGTTCTTGAAGAAATGTTGTAATAAATATGGCGACAAAGATGAGAACAATAGACCGAATAATGTAAATAATGGACATAATACCTCATTTCAGAAATATAGACAGATAAAGATTGTATATTTCAGGAAGCTTCTGTAGTTGGGACGGGAGTAGAGTCAAGTCAAAAGCTAATTCATTGTTCAGGAATCCTGCTATTCAGCATGAAGGCAAAAGAATATATAGGCCAAAAACATTGTAAGAAAAGAAAAGTTTTGCAGATTAGAAAAAAAAAGAAATATACAATATAAAGAAAATACTTTATCTGAAAAATTCAGATTACTTAAAATGTTACTAATACTTCCATTTTTTCCCTTCTCCGTCTCCCACAAATCTTCCTTCTTTTACCATCTTTCTTGAAGCGAGTTTTTAATGGCACGCATTTATTTACAATATCATTGTAATGACTGAAGTTCGTTTAGAAACATGTTCCTAATGACAGTAACCGGCTTAATTAGAAAGGAGCATAAGACAGAAAGAAATAATAAAAGTTCATAGAAGCAAGAAGCCATTAAAAACAAGAAAAGACAATAGGTGTCAAATGTAATAATGCAAGATAGTAATGTTTTTCGACGAGAAAGAAACTGTCATGGAGGACCAAACGTACATTTTCCCAGCAGTAGCCTCGTTTTGAAATAGAATTAAAAAAAATGGTCGTTTTTTTTTTTAAGACGTCGATTAAAATTTTAAAGAAACAAAACAAATAAATAAATTGAAAGTGCATCTGACATACATTAAATTCCTCTCGATTTGTTTACTTATTTGTACAAATTACTTTTTTTTCGAATTAATCTCTTGTATATTTTTCCATTCGATCCGATTGATATATTTTATTTTTATTGCATTTTCTTTTATTTCTTTGTTTCCTTTTTTATTTCCTCGTCTTCCTGGTCCTCTATAGACTTTCCTCTCTTTCTGCCCTGTTATCTTCTTTTTATCGTGTTTTATTTTTCGCTAAACTTTTACCTTTTGTCTCTTTCAGCTTCTGATGCTTTTTTCTCTAATATTTGTCTTACCATTTGCAATTGTTATTCTTGTGCTGTATTCCTTTCTTCTGCGTTCTTTTCTGTTTTCTTTTCATCTTCTCTATTTTTTTTCTTTTTGATTTTTCAGTATCTTTTTTCACTATTTCATTTTACCATTCTTTTATTCCTTAAGTTTTACACAATTCATTCATCAATTTTATAGTCTTTCTTTCTTCAATTCTTTTCTTTAATTGTTTTTTTTCATTTCTTCTTTCTTTCATTGTTTTTTCAGTCTACTATTTTAATTTCAATCAGAATAATGTTTCTTTCAATTTTGAATTTGTTTTCCTTCATACTTTCTTTTTTTTTAGCTTTCCTTAATTCTTTCTTTTTCATTCATTTTTTGTTTTTTCATTTATAATTTCTTTCTTCCTTTTATTTTTTGTATTTTCCTTTCATTCTTTCATTCAACCTGTTATTTAATTTTAATTTTATTTTTCTTCCATATCTCCTCTGTTTTACTCAATCAACCTACCTTTCTCTATCATTCACGAAAGTAGATTGAGTCTGATCATTAGCTAGGTGGTTGTCTGCATCGTAAGAGCAAGATCTGTAGCTTGCGTCCTTGGGCCAAACTAAGAAAAACTTAGTAAATAATCTCGCTCTTTTCTCCCTTAAGACATTTTTCATTTTAATCATATCATTTTTTTTCAATTTCTGACGTTTACTTCCCAGCCATGATACAGTATTTTTGCATTTTTAACTTCCTTCTACTTGTCTTAACATTTGTATCAGTCCTCCTGTGTTTCACCGTTTCCATCTTTCCTTTTCACAACCGAAAACATTTATTTTTTTCTGATAATTTCTAAATATTTTTTAAAATCCCATTATTTCACTTTTTCCTTTTCGTTGGTATCGCTTTTCCTTCTTATTTCTTTTCTTCAATTATTTCAAAATATTTTAATATTTCTTCTTTCGGATTTTTACGTTTTCTTTCTTTTCATGTTTTATTTTTATTCTCATTCTCTCATTTCTTTTTACTTTATTCTTACTCTCTTTCATTCATCTTTATTTTTTATAATTTTCCCTTTCTCTAATTGTTAAACTCTTTTCTGCTCTCTTTTCCTTCCTTTCGTTAATTGTTAATGTACAATTTACGGCGTCCATGTAGTTCAAATATTGACAACAACGGTTAAATGAGCATAGCTAGATACGAAAACCAGGTTCTTCATGTCCACACAGTATGGACGTCGCCAAGTTTGACTAATTAATATTAATAAAAGTATAAGTAGTAAAACCATGCGTTGATCACAGCACAGGTCAGAGCAGATTCTGCCTTGATGCTGATGATCATCGTTTGGTTGTGTAACATAGAAACTGGGGAGCGCCACCTTTCAGAACGTATTCAGTTACGACACACAGTCACTTGCATCATGGTCTTGTACGCAGTAAGTTAAAATTCTCGTTCACCTTTGGTGTTTACGGAATGAAAGGACAATATACATCTAGTTCTGCTGCTATTCCAGTAATATGCGACATGTTATTCCAGCAAGATAATGCTTTTCCTACAAAATATATGTGCTATTCTGTACACGATATTCGAAAATTTGGCCGGTACATTCGCTAGACATGTCTTGTTCAATTAACTCACCTACAAATTTTGCATCACATGAACAGATACAAGAAGTGTGGAATAAAGCATTGAGTTGATCAACTGTACATCGTATGCATACATATGACTGTGTTAACATCTGGTAATGATATACAGTTTGTTAATATAGATTTTGATTATTTTTCATACCCTCCGTAATTTGGAACTTGTACACTTACTTATATAGAATCATTTATTTCTATGACGACCGCGACTGTGCTGTCCACTGCAATGTCATAAAAGCAAACCTACCATAACTCTTCACGTATTTTCTTCGGAGTTTGCTATCAATTGGGCACCATTTAACCAAAGAAAACATGGACGCTATATATCTGATATGCAAATTATCATATACACAAATTTATAATCTGATATAATTAACACTTAGTGCTATATATCATATACACAGATTATCATATACACAAAAATATAGCAGAATAATGGTAAATGAATGAGAAAACGAAGAACTGTCTAGTGATGTGTTTCGTTTCGAAAAGGAACTTTAAAAAAATAACATTTTTATTTATGGAACCAACTCCTACGGTTATGGCTTTTTAATGCAGAACTGATTCGTCTACACACACACACACACACCCGTATATATATATATATATATATATATATATATATATATATATATATATATATATATATATATGTGGGGGAGATTTTGAAAGGGTCAGAACGCCACAAAACAGGAAATGATTTCTTGAATTATTCAATTGACTCATTGAATTCATAAGAAATGAAAAAGTAAAGAGATAAAAAGGCTCAGGTAAAATAAATGCAAAAAGCATTTCATTGGTTTTTATAGAAACACACATTAACTGAATCTGTACAGTCAACTTGAAACTTTCGAATGGAAACGAAAAAGACAGAGAGCGAAAAACAATTGAAGAAGAGAAAAAGAAAAACTGAGAGAGAGAGAAAGAGAGAGAGAGAGAGGGAGAGAGAGAGAGTAGACGATGTGGAAAAACAGAAAAGGAAAGGAAACAAAAAGAAAAATGGAAAAAGAAAAAAGATTCCAAATCGGAATAGGTGGAAAGAGAATGAGGGGAAAATGCTTTAAGAAGAATGAAAATGAAAAAGAAAAGGCTCAAGAATAAGAGGAATTTGTAAAGATGAACGCGACAAAGAAAAGAGCAAAAGTAAAAATCGTAAGAAAGAAGGAATCTAGAAAATAAAATAAAAGTATCAGAAAATGAAGAAAAAATACGAGGAAGAAAAAAATGAGAAAAAAATACAAGTAATGAAGCGGAACAAAAAGAAGAAGAATGCTTAAAAGAAGGAAAAAAAGGAAGACAAATGGACGAAGAAGAAGGAATAGAAAAACGATTTGAGCAGAAAAAGAAGAAAAATAATGAGAAAAACTGTACAAGAGAAAGCAAAACAAAGTAAAGAAGAAGAAGAAGAAGAAGAAGAAATATAAATAGAAAAATGAATAATCACTAGAAGAGGAAAAAGAAAGAAGTAAAGAAGAAAAAAAAAACGGAAGATAAAAGAAGAATCCAGCAAGAAGATAAAAGAAGAAATAGAAAATAAGAATGGAGAAGGAAAAAGATGCAAAAGTGGAGACTTAGGGGAAGAAAAATAGGAAAGAATAAAGAAGAAACAAAAACAAAAGATATAAGAAAAATGAAGCAGCAGAAAGAAAAGAAAATAATACAAAAGAGATCGAAGTCATGAAACGAGTAGAATGTAATTTTGATTTTCTTCCTTTTTTTTTCTTTCTCTTTCTTTCTTCCTTTTTTTTTACCATCCGCCCCAAAAGTGCACTTAGCAATTCATTTTAAAGCCGCTAGGAAAAAGCGATTTTTTTCTTCTGTAGAATATCATCAAGATACGCAAAACAAATTAATCGTTATCAAAAGAAAAAAAAATATAGCCGTAGAGTTGAAAAGATCGAATTGGCGCATCGATGCTTGTATAAACACAAGCGATGATGAGTGGACGATGTACGTCAGTGATCAATGCTGGAGCGTTTCTAAGCTGTGTTTGTCGATTTGACCAGGAACAACATATGCCACTCTTCTAAATATAATTATACTATGTACTTTTTCACGAACATCAAGATATCGCCATCTTTATTGACATCACAGAGTTATGATAAAAAACAGAAGTTTTAAGTAAAATTTAGAATCAGAATGTGAGAGTGGAAATTTATCAAAAACATAATGAGGAAGGATGAGAAAGGTAGGCTTGGAAAATTGAAAACTCATAGAGCGGGAGAGACAGTAGGATGCAGTGAGTAACGTACCTAGCAATCTTGAGAAAATAGGGAGGGGAGAGAGAATAAAGTGCTACAGAGGAAATGCCGGAGAGTCACGATCATTTATGTTCAGAAAACACAAGACATATAGAAGTAGAGATATCTTTTAAAGTATTTTTAATGTATTTTGTAAGAAAAAACAAAACAAAAAGTATATATAAAGGATTTGGTCATGTATCAGGCGCTGAGATACTTTAGGCGCTGCCTTGCAAAACCAAATGATTAAGCTAGCTTCCATTCAGGCTTGGCTTCCTCGATTAGGGGATACAAGATCGAGTTTCAACAGCAGCTCCGTTCATTTTGCTTCTGCCTCCATTACCATACATTAGTTGTGACTCAGAACTGGTTTCTTTGGATAAAGGATACAAGTTCGAGTTTTGAACGTCGAGACCAGTGACTGAATTATACGAATGTTACTCAGTAGAGCCTCTGCTCTTTTGAGGAAATCAGGTGTGAGTACAAACGAGACGATTGTTGACTTGGACGAGAATTTCCGAGCACATCATTCAACCATATCTGCTGTAGATGTCAGAACTTCGAATTGATTGAATAGAGAAGAGATCGAGGATTTGCTATTGTTCAGCACACTCTTGAAGAGTCGCCAATAATCTCAAGAATTGAACTTGTGAGATACTATGCGTTGTTTCATTCTATCAACAAACAGTAACTTCATTTCTTTGTGGACACGCTTGCACTCATTACGAGCAGAGGCAAATGACGTCTGTTGCAATCGGATGTGTCGCTCTGGTACAGCCGAAAGAAGTGATTCATGTGGCCTGTTGCAGCCGAGCATGCAGGTAAGAAGCAAGAAGATGAATGCGATTTAACTTCGTATTTCCTTGCTGGAATGAAACCATCGATATCGGCTTTCACTGAGGAGGAAACCTCAGACGCACATTTTTGAATATGAGGATTAAAAAAGTTCATTCCAAGGACGTCACGAAGGAAGTCACGGAACGATTCTCAATCCGCCCATTAATAACAGAAAGATATTCTGTTCGTAGGAGGTTCTTGGCTGGTAGGAGAGCGGAAAGATATGTTTACAGACACAACCGCATGATCAGAGTTGCCAAGAAGACAGAGCTGCATAGCACGACATGAGTCAAGGGTAGAGGTAAAAATTGGGGAAAACGCATAAGAGTCCACCCCTTGCGTTTATCGCATATTAGGCCTAACATTAAAAAGCACATGTTTCGCACATTATACTTAAATATACAATGTAATATCTTAAAAATAGATGCTTATTTCTGATGATTTCTTTATTATTTTCCTATTTTCAAATTATCAGAGTTTTAGTTATTCTACAAGTGTTTTCTGATGGGATAGGAATATCTAACCGGAAACCAGGCATCAACCTGTTTTAACGAGAGCGAAAAAGTGTCATTTTTGTTAACTAAAGTATTCGGTGTTTTGAAATACAAGAATGCCAAGTAAGCACAACTAGTGCATTCATACGAAACGCACGCGCACACACACACACACACACACACACACACACACACACACACACACACACACACACACACACACACACACGCACGCACATGCACGCACATACACACACACACACACATATATATACATATATATAAATATATATATATTATCCCTCACCGCTCTTCACATTACATATTATCCCT